GGGTACAGCTGCGAGGATCGGTTGTAACTGTCGGCAGATGCAGCTAGTCATTATGTCTAGTTTTCTGCTTTGAAACTTTTTTTTTGTTTTGTTTCTTAAGGAGTAAGATTTTAATCCATTTTCAGATACTGAATCCCAGCTTAACGATTGGAAATTGAATTCGTGCGTTATTAGCGATGTATAATGTTTTCAACCCAACAAGAATCACATTGGTACACGAATAGCTGTTTGGCTGGAATATCACTCCGAAGCGCACACGGTTACGCACCGGCTAGGTACAGTTTCTGAGAAAGTAGGTAATTATTCTTTTGTTTTCTGCCGTTTCTGTCTTGTCTGATATGCAAGCATGAGAGTCACTACCATGATACAGCACTAGGATCTAGAACAGAAAAAAAAACAAGCAGCCAGTAACCTGAAAATGAATAATTAAACAGTGAAGCAATATATTTGCCTAACCCACAATAGTAATTTTTCAAATGCTCTCATCAGATACTTCAACTGTGTTGTGTGCGATTGTAGTCTTAAACAACTGTATAAGAGCTTTACTAACTATTTTCTTTTATACACCGCGTTTCTTTTAAGCTCAGAGAAATGATTGCTCAAGAGTTTTTTAAGACGTGAAAAATTAAGTTGTAGTCCTTATCGGATCTTCAAAAATAAGTTATTGAAAACAAGAATAATGGCTTTTTCAAGTCGTTTGTTACTTTGGAATCACGTAATGCCAAATGTAATTTCTCTTCCTCTTGAATGGCCTTTTTTTAACCTAATCCTCACTTCCTGATAGAAAAAAAAATTATATGCTCACCGAGAGTTGTCAGAGTCATTTTACTGAATTAAGTTCGTTTAACAACGCGTTTTTGAGAGGACAGTGAGAAAATAATTAAAGGCTTTTTTGCTTCAAGCGTATATCGTTTGTGTGAGTTTACTTTTGTTTTATTCCCGGAACTTCAATTTTTTCTTGGTAAAATGCGAATCCAGTTAATAATGAATCTTTTCATTACTGGTCATCTTAGCGAGTTGGCTTCCTGAACAAACAGTAGTTTGAAGCGAGGCAAAAAAAGTTTTCTTGCTTTCATTACGAATAAACAGTAATGATAGTGTGAGCGGCTTTGCAGCAAATTTCGTTAACTATTTTTCATGTTGTAGGTCTATCTTTGAATCATTACGATGTCTGAAGGTGAACCCTTAACACCTGAAAAGCAAGGTTTTACGCAGCTTTCCAAACTGTTGCTTCGTGTTCTCGGTAGTTTATAACATCTTATGCAGTTTTATTGAGATATCAGTTATTTTTATTTAAGGAGAAAATTGAGCTTGATGTGAATGTTTAGGACGTGATAAGAATAGTGTTAGACCACCTACTGATGAACACTTAATCAATGCAGTTGGAAAGCAAGAATCGTCAAAGTCAGGGCAAAATAATTTTGAATTAAAACCTGATTCTGTGCAGACTAGTGGTTGGCAAAGGGTGAAAGCTATGTACACGAAAGAAGGTAACTTCTGCTTGCAGTAGATAATGAAATTATCGGGTGCTAACATTTAGCTGATTTATGTAAGTTTTTAAAGTTACTGAATATTTGTAGGTACTTATGCTGAAAAGGAACTCACTGTTAGTGTTGGACGAGCAGCGTTTATGGCCGGCGCTTTTTTTGGTGGACTACTGGGCTTCAAACGATCAGCCGAGCGTTATAACACTTATAGCCAGGGGAAGAAATTTTTGAGTCACGCTGATGCTGTTGTAAGTTTTTGGGTATCTTGTTTATCATTGGTTGCTTTACAAGGTTTGTAAAACTTTTCTCTGCAGTTGGAAACGAATTTGTAATTTTTCATTTTGATGACTAGGGAATCAGTGGTGGAAATCGTCTGCTTTTCCTAACTGGTAAGCATTAGGGGTGTCTTCTGGATATTTTCTTTTTTTAAAGTCGTTCAACATACTGGTAGGGGAGGGGTGGGGGGAATGAGGGAGACCTGGGCTTAGTGAGGTCTGTTGTAAGAGATGAGGAAAAGTGGTTAAAGCAAGGGATATAAGACGAGCAATGGTTTCCACCGATACACAAAAATTTTTTTGCTGCCACCTCTGTTCTTCAATTTTACTATAAATTCGTATGGCTGGTACTTCTTGGTTCATCCTTTTTTAGATGCGAAAGTGGGATTATGCAATCCTTGTCTTTTTAAAGGACGGGCTCAAAGCTGGAATCAAATCATGTTTTGTCGTTGGAAGCACAGTGTGAGTTGAATAACTTTTTGAAGTTCATGATGATAACAAACTTTTTTTTTCAGGTTTTTAATTGGACATCTTACTGTATGGCGTAATCATTTTTCTGCATGGTATTTCCCATTAATATCAGGTTCTGCTTAGAATTCTTCCAAGACTTCTGATTCTATCTATTTTGAAAAAGTCATAAGTTTCGTGACCTTTTAGCGCATGTTGTTAAGGTTTTGAAGATAAATCCGTTCTCAAATTTTTTAGTACCTCTGATCTCAGTAATGGCATTGCCGTATGGTAGTCGTGCAGTTCTAGAAGGGTTTGGTCTTGCTATGTCTACAGGGTAAGGGGATCTCTTGTTGTCATATTTTAGAGCCATTTTCTCTTCCAAGATGCAGCTTTGAATTTTTCTTTCTAGTGTTTTTTTACTAACTGAGCATTTTAATATGGTTTATATGGTCACAATTTTTGACAGGGTGGGAGGTACAAATTTTTAGGGCTGTATCAGCTTAAGATTTGGGTTTAATGGTATAAACCACATTATTCCATTTGTTTCATCTTCCATTTCTCAACTGGCCATTACCCGTATCGCTTATTGTTGTTCTTGTAGGCTCTCCATGACAGCGTTGGTATACTTACTAGCGTGCGCTTGTGGAAAATCTGTTGACAGAATGTATAAAGATCTTAAAATTCAATACGAAGGTGAGGCTAGATTAAAAAGAGAACGTGCAATCCAAATTGAGAAAATTATGAAAGAAAACAAATTTATTTTTCGTGGTGATGCTTGGAAGATGTTGAGGAAACAGGAGGCGGAACGTTTAAAAAATTCTGTGAAAAATGAACTAGGCAGTGAAGAAAAAGGCAGTGAAGTTGTTAGTTCAACTGTGGATGTCACTTGAAATATTAACTGCTTGTAAGTTAGGAATATATTAATTGTGGTTAAGTTGTAAAGTTCTATGTTTTATAGGATTTTAATTGTCGGTGTATTTACTAAAAGTGGACGTCGGCAATAAGCATATTAATGGTTTACAGTGATTTAAGAGTATTTTTATAATTTCATTTTAGATATCGTTTTGATTTAACTCTATAAATGCTTAAGTAGAGTCATTTGTGACAGGTTTCTGTTTTGATTGATGTGTTCTTTACAGTTTTCAGTAAAGAAACTGAGAGTTTTGGGAGAAAGGTGTTTTTAAGTCAGTTTTGAGACGATTAATCGCATGTTTTAAGAAAATTTATTGAGATATCAAGTACGAAGTGTAGTTACCAAGCGATTGAGGATCTTTACTAATATTGCTGTTAACGCTTTTAATGTCGGCGGGTTACTAATTTATGAGACTTTTCAAAAAGTGAAATGGAAGATGATTACTTACTTGTAATCGTTATTGCTTGGACATGGGAGGTTCGCATTCTCAATCTTTTGCATTGTGGAGTTATCGGAATTAGGACGTTTCTGCATTCCTTTCTTTAACTAACAGAATTATGAATAGTAACAAAATTATATAAGTTTGGGTGTTTTTCAGAGGATTATTTTCCTTCTTCTAAATAGTTAAAGGTAGTGGCAGTATAAAAATAAGCATTAATATAGAAGTCCGTGGAATGCTCTGATACGGGTGGATTTTAACTCTGCGTGACCTTGAAGCAGGTAGTGTTTAAGAACAGAATTTATCTTAATTATTAGATTTTTTAGTGATAAAATTTTGTTAGTTTTTTTACGTTATTTTTTAAAATATTGTTAAAGTTATTGTTGCTTTGCCGTTAACTATTGTTTGTTATGTGTTATTTGAAAATGGTAATTTACAGAAATTTCTGAGTTGATGGTAGTGATGAGTTTCTTGTGCTAGTGATGTAGTGAAGCAAAAATAAATTTCTCAAGAAGTGTAATTTCAAAGGCGTAATCGTGTTTTGTAATTGTCTTTTTAGATTATATGGAAATTATGTATAAGTGCCAGATGGCGTTTTGTGACTGGTTTTTTCATTGAGCTATATTTATGCGTATAAAAAGTAGGCCCTAAAATGGGTATAAAATTACCGTTACCTTAGTTGGTTTAAAACTTTTATCTTAGTGGTTAGATGTAGGTTGACTGCTTGGAGAATGTTTTGCTACTGCGGTTAGTAAGAGTGTCAATATCAAAGTTGTACCACGAGTTATCACTTTATTAGTATTCTATTCTTGGCTGAGTTATATCTATACGTATAAAAGTTGGCCCTAAAATGGGTATAAAATTACCGTTACCTTAGTTGGTTAGTGGCCCCATCTTTTTTCTCCACTGCAGTGGGAGGGGCCTACGAAGAAAAGTGTACCACTTACAACCAATCAGCGTGATGGGGCTACCAAACTAAATCGGAGCCGGATTTTTTTGGTAATGAACCTTGCATATAATTATGTTTTAGAACTGAACTGAAAAGAAGTGTTAATCCCCGGAGAGTATATGCTTATTTGTTCTGGGAAAGTTTAGTACCTCAGTGATATTGCCTGTTTTGAGCAGAACAAAGTTATCACTGCAACCTGGTGGTGGTATTCTTCAGTTTTTGGAAACAAGCTCCTGCTTAACAATACTCTAAGGTGGGATTGTAGGATTTGTGTCAGCTTATCGGTCAGTTGTGTGAATTAAACGGTATGCATAGTTTTATAGTGAGTAATTCAGTTCGGTTTTCAAGGTATTGTTTAATGTAATTACTATGAGAATGAAAACTTGATTTTACCGGGGGAAGATTTCGTGTAGTACGACTAATTCATACATTTTTATAATTGATTTTGGTGGTCAGAGCAGAATGAATTTTCTAAATATAAGTATACAAGGACTTCTGGAAGGCTTTTGATAGTGCTATTTATAAAAAATCACTATGTAGCTTTGAAGAGAACGAAACAAAAAAAAACATAGCGACCAAAAAAATTTATTGCAAGTTTTAATTTCAATGGAACACAACGAGTGCTATAGTTTGTGCGCCTGAATGAGACACTGAATATCCTGTTTACAGTAGTGCACATCGTTCATTTCGATGCTCTCTATATACGAGAAGTAGTTGCTGGTTGTAAGGAATTTATGAAATGAAAAACGAAGAATAAGCCACGGAGTATTTGCCATTTTTGCATTATAGCTGCTACCGGTAATCAAAATCTGCTGGAAACTTTCTGAATGCTGAAGTATTTCTTAATTTTAAGCACTTTTAAGTTAACTTGTACAGTTAACATTTTTTTGTTTTCATTCGGTAAATGACACTGTTTTAAAATAATTAATTTTACTAATTTTATTATTTGCTACTTTTCACGCTGTAAAATGAGTGGTTTACTGGTGGTGGCGCATTGACTGTTGGCAGTTAGTCTCATGGACTTAAGGTAGCCCTTGATTGAATCGTATGGAAGTTGAGAAAAGCTTTTATGCATTAAATAGTGTGGATGACTGGAACTGAATGTTCAAAAGTAAGTTCAGCCAGTTTTTTTCTTAAATTTACAAGTCACAGGAAGAAAAATTATAGCGAATTGAATGTAAATTTTTTGTTAAATTATAGTTAGTTTTCTAATTTACATTTAGGTGTATTTGGGAAAATTATAACTGTACAGAAGTCAACTTCAAAGTGTCGTCTTTGAAAGCTGATCTTTGTCTTTCGTTCTAGATTTGTTAGTAAAAAACGAACTATTTGTCTGGACTGAATTTTGTTTTAAGTTCTAGATCATCAGGTATTATGCACATTGCACTGAGTTCTATGGGATGTGAAATTTTGATTCGAACTCAAAAGAGGGACAGACGAGAATGGTGATAGGCATAGTTACTTTAACAGCACGATTGCTTTTGTCAATATCGTGCATGATTTTTTATTACCGTTAAATCTCCATATTCTTCGCTCATTGTTGAATATGTCAACGTTGGTTGACATTATTGTGCTGCCTAAAACGTGCGACGTAATTTCATATTGTAAGTTGAATGGAAGATTATCAGAAGGCAGATAGCGATTGTATTAACGACACTTCTTACTTGTACTATTTTTGCAAATGTTTTGTGAAGAATGTGGAATTTCTCATCTAGTTAGAGTTTCATGCAGAAAAAAAGGAGGAAAAGCTGAAATCTTTGCTTGGAAATAAACATTGATAAAAAAAATGAACAAAATATTGATTGTTAACCAAGCACTGAATGATACTGAAGACCGTTTTTTTAGGCTGCAGTTCGATAAACATTAGAAGATTGATAAAACGAGTAATTTTACATTGTATTTTGCGTCATCACCAGTGCAGTGTCAGTTTGAACCAAAAAAAAAACAGGAAAAAAATGGACAACTTTTATTTTACTAATCTCAAAGCAGTGGCTGTGTGTGTTGCTTAAAAACAGTCTGCTAAATAAAGTCTTTCAAAGAGTATTACATCTGTATGGAACATAAGTGCTTATTACTTTGCAATTCCGCAAGCTGTTATTGTTTTTTATCAAATATCGGAAATTTTTCGAATTTAAATCACCTTATTATTGCAATTTTTTATTCAAGCACTGCTACGTTTGGAAGATTGAAATACCGTGTTGACATTATCCAAAATTCAAGAATATTTTGTATTGTACTGTGAAATTATTGCAACGATATAAAGGCGAAAGCGATGTTAAATTTTTGTAGAAAATTTCAGGCAACCTGATTTCTGTACTCGGTTGATTGCTGTTGTTGCTATCGTTGTTGTCTGTCAACATTATGCAGTATATTTGTTTCAGCTTTACCTGGTTAGCAGTAGTGTCGTGAAACTAGGGTAAATAACCAAATAAAAAAAAATTTCGGTTGTAGAGTTGAAAAATCATTTAGTTAATGTGTGTAGTCAACATTGTCACCAAATGCATTCAGCAATTTCGCTTTGATTGCTATCGTCAAACTACCAAATCCGATTGTACAAGAAGTGGCATTAAATGAGCTGAAACAAAGACGAAGAAGATTATTCATGAAAAACAAAGAAAGTGAAAGCAAAATTGAAGTATATAGTTTGGGATGCAAAAAAAAAACAGTCTTTCAAGCAGCTACAGTTGAAGTCGTCTCACTAACTGTTTTTGTCGACAGAATAATCAAAAAATAGTAATTCTTCATTTCTGTCTATACTAATTATTGAAAAATTATATTTTTCCCGAAATTTTTAGTAAAATTTGTTTAAGAAACAACAGAATTGCATTTCAAAGTTTCTTTATGCATATTCTTTTTCAAAGGTTTTGTCCTTTGTATTCTACGCTATCAAGGTACCTTAAGAAATTGTCAAATGTAAGAAAAAGCGACTGGTAGAACAATTAACGTGTGATTGATACGTCACATGGATCGCATGAAACCGCCTCTCAAATAATTGGCTGCGCATTCACTGATGTTCAAAGTACGGTACATAAAACCGTAATGGAAAGTGATCTTATCGTAATCATAACGCTAAAATGACCAGTTATCTCCTCTTTACTTTTATGAAACTTTTCGTTTTGTTTTTTGCTTGCAACTGAAAGTTCTTTAACTCTGTGATAACTGAAGACATTTAGGTTACACCTACATACATAATTTTTTTGTTGAAATTCAGAAATTACAACATTATAATTAGAAGTTCATTTAGCATAAATAGTTGAATTTTCATGAATTTCTGTCACTCAATATATAAGTCACAATTTAATGTTTACTACTGTAATCAATCACTTTTTGTTTATTGTAGACTTTTTTTAACGCAGTATCTTAAGTGCTGATCAGTTTTTAATAATACAGCGTAATACAACATATTGCATAAGTTTTTTGTTAACTTCTAAAGCTGCTACTGTTCTGTAAAACTGCACGAACGACGACAAAAAGAATCAAAGCATTTTAAGAAAACTGAATAAACAACAAATCGTATAGTATTGTTGTTTTTCGTTTTCATTTATAAAAGCAGTTCATTGTCAAATTGCAGGTTCTAATGTCTACTTGA